ACAACAAACCATAATATGGTTTCTTTTTGACATTATGATGAATGAATGCATTTATTGCAGCTTGTCATTAGGTACAGCCCAGGCCTTTGTGGTTTCTCTAGCAAACCCATAACAAGATTAAAGCATAACATGTTATGAACATTGACAGTAGTAAATCTGAAACTCCTATATAGTATTCTGTTATGTCAGAAAGATAAACATGACTAAATAAGTCTGAGCAAAGGCCTCATTTAGAATTTAGCTTAAGTCCTATAAAGAATTCTTAGAATTTAGTTTATTAAGCCCTATATAGAATTACCAGAGCTAAGCCAATGACTTTTTTCAGTGTTGAACAATATGTATAATTATCAGGTTATTATCATAGGCGTCCTGAATATGTGTTAAGACATGCATGTATTCTCAAATTGCTAGGATGCAAGCAAGAATATGTAGCTTGGAAAGTAATCTCTTGATTAGAGAGCCTAGCCTGCATGGTGAACATGATTGGATAAAATCTGGCTTTATTTTTGTTTATAACCAACTAGCAAAATATGTCAAAACTTGCTAGTATTGTCCATCCTATTATGATGGAATACTGTATGTGACCCAAGTACAACTATGACTGGTAACCTATATCTTCTCTGGGTTACTATGAAGAACACCAAAATTGTGGTGCAAGGGTGAGCGGGGTGTCAATATCTATGAGGCCATCTGGTGACAACCATGAAATATGGAAGGTTTCAGCTGGAAATGTAGGAGTAAAGTACAGTGAAATAATGAATGACATGAAAGAAAATATATATGGTGTGGGTCTGTGGAAAGAGAAAGGGGAAGATATACAATATAACTGAATAGAAATGGATAAAAATGGCTGATTTTGTCAAATGGAGTTGATGGATACTTTCATGGAAACGAAGGCATAAAATTAATTAGGAATAGAAGAGCTAAATTATGTGTCAGACAGTAAGAACCAGAGTCATCTAGTTTGTTGATGGTAGTTGTGTGTTGCATCCATTATCAGAGATGACTTGTTCTATACAGCAGTCCATAGAAAAAATATTTTGTAAGATAACATGAACAGATAAAGGAAAAATAGGATGAGAGTATGGAAAAAGCAATTGCATTATTAGACACCCAAGAATGAATGAGCATGGTGACTATTTGGTAAGCATCTATTAAGAAAAAGATGTATTAGTTTCAACTTTATAGTTTAATACACAAGGTATCAAATTAATATAAACCTTAATATATGATTTATTTAACTGTATATGATGAATGAGAAGTGCAAAGGTGATATTATATTTATATAAAATACAAAAGATTTATACATCTGAAGACCAACCAAAATATGTTGAGATAAATGCTCCAAAGTATCATTGCAGAATTCTTGCAGGAAAATTCCTGTAGTTTCCATTAATGCATCTAAATACCCTTATTTGCTGTTAACCTCTTTTTTTCTTTCCTTATACACTAACAGGCATATTGATGAAAGCAGCAGGGTTGATAAATGTGGTATGTAACCTATTATTTATGTTAGGAATGAATCTTAGGGAAAATAGCCACAAAAGAACAGAAAGGCAGTTAAAAAAATGAAGATAAACGTATATCGTCTGTAGAAAAGGGAAGTACTAGTTCTGTGTGAAAAAGCATTCAGAGAGAGATTCATCTCCAAATAGGATGTATCGAATGTTAGGAAAGATTACGTGGAAACAAAGTGAATGTACTTGAAAAATATGGGAATTATCCTAAGAAGAATGAAAAGACAGGTGGAATGAGATTGAAAGATGCATATCAGAGGATAATTATTGAAAACATTAGGAAGATTGGAAGATAACGTATATAGAGAGAACAAGTAGTTTCAGGGAATATAGTCAAAGAGCAAGGAACCATTAGAATTACAACAACAAAGAAAATGCTTATTATTTTGATGGGAATAAAATGTTTCAGAAATGGGTTGAAGAGAGCTCAACAAGGAACTTGAAGTTAATGTAAAAGAATAACAGTGATGTACTGTGAACATGTTGAAAATTATAGGGAATCCATGTGTCCCTGGAAAAATGTTAAATAGGTGAGGTTTTCTTATCTAATGGCTGTGTTTAATGTTTGCATCAAGGCTACATCTGGGCATGCCTGACAGTTGGAAGAAAGGTATTATGAGTGTGGATTGATTATAAAACTCAATGACCAGTATGAAAAAAAGTGCATTGAAAATGAAGAACGACTTACTTTCAAAACAAATGTATATGAAGGAGTGAATGGGTCAAGAGAAAGGGGAAGACCAAGAAAATGGATGTTTGAGTCAATGAGATCTTCCTAAAGAAAGAGGTTTTTTTAAAACCATGAAGCAGTACATGGTTATTATAAAGCAGGAATGTCTTGCAAGAACAGAAAGCTATGGAAAGGTTCAGTGAATGGTTTAGCAAGGTTCCATTTTTCTTCCTTATTGGTGACTTTAATTTTTTAGTCTTACTATTTCTTATTTCCTTTCTGGGTTTTGATTGACACTGTTTATTTGTTTATCCTGAAAGGGAATTGTAGGATAGATGCTATGATTCTGTTCAGTTATATGAGTCTGTATGTGGGATTTATTTTTTTTAACCTGTGGTGAAACTCAGGAAAGTAAAAATCATCGTCATCATGTCTAGCACCTACAGCAAATATATTAATCTAGTGCCATAAGTGGAAGGCGAGTTATCTCTAAAACTTTAGGGAAACTTAATTATAGTTTCATGTGATTTCAAAAATATGAATATCTGGAATATATAAATGTTTCATTTTGATTTTTAGCCATTGTTCTTGAACAAAATTTGGTGTGGTTACTATCTCAATACACCATTAGTTTTGTTAGCTTAATGTGGGCTAATGATGGATCTAACAAGCTTACTCAAAAGGGTCTTCTAGGAAAGGCCACTGAAGTGTCCCAGCAGGAGGACTTAATATGCAATGAGAGAATGAGGCAAAATGTCCAGTTAAGAAGAATATGCATATTCACAGGAACTTTGTGTGTACTTGTATAGGTAGTCCTTGGTCAACAATGGCTATTGGGAGTGGAATTTCTGTTGTTAAGTGACACTGTCATAAAGTGTGATATCACGTGATCCCACTGCTTAGCAATGGCACTTCTGGTTGCAGTTAAGCAAATCTTGTGTTTTTATTAAGGATGATATCATACCATGTGCAACCTCCTGCTAGCTTCCCTATTGACTTTGCTTGTAGAAAGCCCAGCAAATACGGTTGCTAATCAACTCACCTGATTATGGGATGCTACAACATCATAATTGCAAGATGTTTATGATGATGTGATTGTAGGAATGCTGCACCATCCAGAATTTTAAGGACTAGTCATAAGTATCATTTGTTCAGCAACATCATAATTTCAAATGGTTACTGCATGAGTGGCCATTAAGTGAGAATCACTGTAGATGCATTCAATTCTTCAGTGGTATTTGCTCAGCCCTCCTTCAGTTAGCTGCCTTCTTATTGATTTTCACTCTGCTTTTGCCTTTACAAAACAGCTCTGAATATTTTTATTTGGCACTTTCCTAGCATTGTATGCAGAAGTAGGGAAGAAGAGAGAGAGAGGTTAGCTTAACCTGATAAATTCATATGATACTTGCCAAGTAATGTTTTGCTCTACTTTATCACTGGCTTGTGAGCATAAGTATATCCAATTAACTGGGTGATAAAGATAATAATCAGAAGTTATTTTGTAGCGCCGCATTTTTTTCAAAAATAATTCAGAAGTGCTTTCAACTCAACATGATCAGAACATCTTTATGCTGCTCAGTAGAACAGCTGCTGGATGTATATTTTGTGTATATTCGTAGATATTGTACTCTCAAATTGCAAATGGAGACGTGGGTACTCTATCATTCTTATCCATTTTTAAGTGCTTTGGTTTTATTGTATTGCGAACAGTTGCTGGGGTGCATCCACAGTTTCGTTGTACTTGTGCAATGACAATAAAGTTCTTCTAATATTCTAATATTCTAATCTTCTTTCAAGCTTTTCCAGAAACTTGATAAAATATACAGCTGTTTTAAGGAACTGAGTCATAATTTGATTCAGTTACCATTCTTTTTAGGCTCACCGGAAAACCTGTAAAAAGTCAGGCTGCTTTATTGAAGAGCAGATAAGTGTTTGTAAAAGGTTTGAATGGTTTCTTCCAAATGTATGCTGAGGATACACATTACACAACCCTGTTGTAGTATGGCCACAACCTGAAATGTGGCTGTGATTCAAGATTCAAAATAAGTGAGTAAATCATATATAATGGCTTTCAAAATCTCTGCATTCCTGACACAGCAAAGGGGAATCAATTGATATATAATTTAAATAGTGTGTTTAGGCAAACTTCCATTGGATCATGTGAACAGGAATCTAATTTTGATGGATTTCTCTTCCAGCGATTCTTTTTTCCCTGTGAAAAATCTGGCCCCGGATTTCAGACTTTGCAACAAAACTGATCCCATCACTCGCTTTTGCTTACTGTTGTTACTCTTTTGATTAAAACTGTTGCCCAGTCTAGAACTCTGGTACCAGGAAGAAATGCCTGGATAATTACAGATTAAGTTAAGGATTATGAGGATTTTGTATTAAATAGCTTCATCATTGCCAATGTGTGCAAATACTGACATTTCTTTTTGTTCGCTTCTTCTGTTCTGTTAATAGGTTTAACTGAAGGTTATACAATGTGCTGCACTTCAGATGCTTTGAACTTCAGCTCTCATTAACTTCATCCAGTATTGGATTAAAGAAATCTTGTGCTGGCTGGGGAATTCTGGGAGTTGAAGTCCACACATCTGAAAATTGTTGAGGCTGAGAAACAGTGCTCTAAAATAATCTGAATGGTAGCAGATGGTTTATTTCTGATTTAAAGTTTGCCATTGTAGTTTTCATGTCAAACGTGTAACACCTTTTACTCCAAATCTCAATATAAAGTTATAACGGTAGAGAACCTAGACTCCATGAATTCTTTTCTTCAGAACTTATATATTAACACTAGTGTCTTTTATTTACAGAGTAATTATTTAGTGTTCATGGCAGAGCTGTTCTGGTGGTTTGAAGTGGTGAAGCCATCATTTGTCCAGCCGCGAGTTGTAGGTCATCCCCAAGGTGACTTTTTTAAAAAAAATTCTGTGATCTTCTGTTCAGTATCTGTTGTTTAACATGGAACATATTTCTGAAGTGATGAAATACAGAAGCCTACACTGTTCCAGGCATGGGGAAATAACTTACTGAAGTCCTGCTTTTATATTATGACAAACAACAAGAGATTCGGTGGTAGATCTTATGTTCTTCAAGCAGAATATTCCAGGTTGAATCCTGGCACTTCCCATTCCCTACCCACATTCTTGTCTTTTTAAGGGCTCAGGAAGACTTTGTATAAATTGAAGCGGGAGTACTACCAAGGCAGACAGTAACAGATTATGTAGAACAATAATGTAACTTAGTAAAGAAAGCTTTGTGAGTTGTGCATCTCATCATGTCTTGGCTCGTGCAACTTCAGTGCTTTAAGGGACAATGCATCCAGATCTCTGTACCACACTATGATTTATATTATGTCCTTGTGCTTATTAAAGTAGAACTTCAAGTAACAGCATTCAAAGAACCCTTGTTGTTTCTAGCATTTCTCCTGCTTGGTTTCAGGATCTGCTTGTTTGTGAACTGCATTCCTTCAGTTCACACAATTAAGCTGTCAATCCATGATGCAACAGGGAGTTGTATTTCCTCTCATTATAGAACCTAATCCCAATTTGGACTGAGAAGGAGTACTTGGCCCAACATCACCCAGGCAGCTTCCATGCCTAAGAGAATAATACAACCTGAGTTTTCCCACTCGTAATCTATCATCTTAACTGCTTTCCCATACTGGTCCCCCTGGATAGCAATGAACTGCACGTCTTTTTGACTGACAGAAACTTGGACAGAAAGGGTGGATCATATAAACAGATTTTCTGTCAACTAGCTGATCATCCTTCATTGTCAGGAAAACGTTTCATATTTCCACATGTGGCGTAAGCTTAGGATGTACTTAACGTTCTAGAAGTTAACTTGTAATGTGGAGCAAATTTTGCAGGTCTATCCATTTCCGTACCTTAATAGTTTAATTCAGAGCTCCCAACTGAAAAAAGCTTGCCAATGTCACTTCAACATCAATATTTTCATGAGCTCCTAAATGTAATTGATAACAAAGTAAGATAACTAAATGAGATGAGGTCCCTAACAGGTACATGCTGGACCATTTGAAGTTTTGTCTATGTCTTCATTTTTCTACAACTTTAAATGTGTGAAATATTTATCTTCTGTGCAGCTGAACCTCCAAAGGAAGCATCTTCTGTTCCTCCTACAAATGCCAATCAAAGAAGTTACCCAGGTGTTTTGCATGATTCCGATCTGATAACCAGGTATCAGTCCAGTTGAGCATGTCTCTCAATCTCCACCCTACCCCACCCCTATTTTCTTTTCCCCTTCTCTCAATGAACTGTACAAAATATATGCTTTGCTCTTTGGAGCATCATAGAAAAGGAGATGAAACTTGCCATGCTTTCTCATTGATGTAGAGTAGGCCTTTGTATGTTAAAAAGTATTAAGGCACCAGAATTAAAGATATGTAAAATGCTGGTGTCCTCTCTTCAACATATCAAGGAGTTAACACATAAATGCTTATTTTTGATCATCAGTAGAACTTAATTTTATATATATTTTGGGAACCAAATTGTTGTCTGAGATGCAAAAGACAATCTGTCCTGCCACATAGCATATTTAATAGTTTTTCATGCCTCACAAAATGTTAGCTGTGTTTATAAGAATCTGAATCTGAAACTATATTTCTATCCATCCTACATTATGATGTATCTAGGAAGCAAGATGTTACACTAATTAGAATTATTAGGCTAAAACACAAGAGCCCACATTTAAGCCTCCACTTCATTTTACAGCTAACTTTAACATGAGGCCAGTGACTGTCTCTAAGCCTTACAAAGCTTAAAAGTGAGGGAAATCCTATACATACTGCATGTATTTATTAATTGAAATATCATATATGGGAACCATTAATACATAGACAAGGCTTAAAATGCCATAATATTCACAACATAGATGGTATTTGAAGAGTAGGTGCTATTGTAGTGAAGATAACAGCTTTCTTAGGTGTGATGGTTCTATATGATCAGAAAATGATCTGCACTGAATTAAACAAAATATGCATATAGATTAACATAATAATACTATATGCTTTCTCAGGGGGCAAAAATTGTACTGATTTGTTTTAATATGGAAAAATAATTCTCCTAATTTCTTATTCATTAAGAAGGCCATTGGAGCATTGAAATGGATATTGTCCCTTTCTAATTTTGAATAGGGTTTCCCTAACTGGACAGTACTAATGATTTATGATGTTGTTACTTGGTGTTTTAATTTTTGTGACTCAAATGGAATATATGTTTTCTAAAATTAGTCGCAATTAAAGCATTGTATAAGGAAGAATAATTGATAAATAAATAGACAATGTAAGATTGCTTGTTAACTGTGCTCAGGACTGTATGTTTTTCAAGTGACAAACAGACAGACACCCAAACTAACAAGTGGTGGGGTTTTCTCCTTTTTCCAGTGTGGGGACTTCAACTTTTATACCATCTCATCAGATTCCTCCTCCAAGGCACACACAGCAACAGCCTTACTCATCAGCCCCAGGTACCAACGTGTAACTGAATGACTAGATTTTAGGCTATTCATGTTCTACTATTTCATCATTCATCCAAAGAGAATGTTTTTACAGACTGTTTCTTAGAATCACAAGTAATCTTCATGAAGCGCTACAACGCATGACTTAGAATTACAGGCAGTCCTCGAGATACAACCACAAGTGAGCCCAAAATTTATGTTGCTAAGTGAAACATTTAAGTGAATTTTGCCATATTTTACAACCTTTTTTGCCACAGTTGTTAAGTTGGTAATCCGGTTGTTAAGTGAATCTGGCTTCCTCGTTGATTTTGCTTATAAGAAGGGTTGCAGAATGCGATCTCATGACCCCAGAACACTGCAATCGTCATAAATATGGGTTTGGTGCCAAGCACCTCAATTTTGATCACATGACCATGGAAATGCTGCAACAGTCCTAAGTGTGAAAAATGGTCACATCACTCCTTTCAGTGCCATTGTAATGATCACTACTTGAAGTGTTGTAAGTCGAGGACTATCTGTATTAGAATTCTGTTTATTTTTTATTTCTTTTCCTTTAAAAAAAAGGGTACAGATGACCTTCTTATGACTGCTCTCAATTATCCACCAAAGAAATGTTAAGTTATAGCCCTTCATTGGCCCAGTGTCATTTAGATAATTTTATGGCTAAAGTAGAATCTATTTTTCCATTCCAAGTTTGATACCCAGTTCACTAGGCCATTTCACTAGGCCATTTCTATCATTATTGAAAATGAGAATGCTCATCTGGGTTTAGAGTACAATCATCTAGTGGAGAATCTTTCTATATATGATCACTCTTCATATAGTTGTGGATTCTGGAAAAACAGAATCTGTAATCATATAGTGACTCTTATATAGAAAAATAGTTTTTTAAGAGAAAGTTGTTTTCTGTGTATAGGGAATGATTTAACTATCCCAGCTTTTGATAATTGAAGTTTATTATCAGCCTCATTACTACCATGATAATATAGGACAGCGGAACAGGTTCATCACATTTTCAGTGGATCACTTTATATATTTTGGGAATAAACAAACACTTTTGATGGAATATTCTATAGAGCTAATTGTTTTGTTGATGGTATAACACTTTGATTAAGTACTTAATTTTGTTTTACACATTTTTAAATTGGGAAGGAATGTATAAATATAATTCATGTTGAATATGAGCAATAGATACATGCAGAATAATTCTGATATAAGTTACAATTTGATTATGTAAGTGGTAGTAGAGGTAATCCTTAACTTACAACCATTCATTTGGTGATCGTTCAAAGTTACAACAGCACTGAAAAAAGCAACATCACCATTTTTACCCTTATGATCATTGCATCGTCCCCATGGTCACATGATCAAAATTTGGTGGTTTGGCAACTGGATCATATTTATGATGATTGCAGTGTCCTGGGGTCATGTGATCACCTTTTGCCACCAACTGACAAAGTCAATGGGAAATTCATATTCACTTAATGACCATGTTACTAACTTAACAACTGCAGTGATTCACTTAACTGACAAAAAAAAAGATGGTAAAATGGGGCAAAACCTGCTTAACAACAATCTTGCTTAGCAATGGAAAATTTGGGCTCAATTATCATAGATTGAGGACTACCCATACAACCTACATGTTGAAGGTTTTACTCCAAAAGCATCTGGGCCCTTTTTGTTTCATTTATTAGTTCAGCTCCTGTATTTTATTTGTATTTTATATCATTGTCCTAATTCCCTCTGATGATAGATGGATGGATGGATGGATGGATAGATGGATGGAGAGAGGGAGGGAGGCAGGCAGGCAGATTTATTTCTAAACAATCATTACAGGGTGTTGTTTTTTTTAAAGGGCATAGGCAGAACCTGAAGCCTCTCAGTAGGGTGGAAAAGTGGTGGTTTATGAAAGCATTCAAGGGAGGCTGGAGAAGAGGTGAATGGAAGTAGGGAAAGACAAAGTTGGGTAATCAAAACAACTTTGTAGGTCTCATCAGATGTTTTGTCAAGCTGCATGTACCACCTTTTCTTAGTTCCTGGCCTAAGACTACAGTATTACAAATGCGTATTTAATTTATGTAGCCTGCTTTATAAATCAGTGGCAAAAATTGATCTCAATTTCTTAAGCCGATTCAATTGTTGCTTTCTGTTTATATTTTCATTTTAAAACTTTCCAAAGAATTATTCTTATATTGCATTCTGTATTGATTTTAAATAGGCGGCATTAAAAGATCAACTTCTATGTCCTACGTGGATGGATATGTAGGGACGTGGCCCAAAGAAAAAAGGTAAAATCTTTGCCTACTGGGACTTAATTGCCTTATATAATGAATTAAGTCATTATTTAATAATTTTCCAGATGTCATCTTTACATATAGTACAGTATATATATTCATATCTTGAATATAGGGTTGAAATTACATCTTGTTGCTTTAGTTTGAAGACAGATAAAGAATATTATTTTTAATTCTAACTTGTTGGAATATTTAAACTTCAATATTGCATTGGCTGTTCTAAGACTTTCTTAATTTTAAAATCCCCTTTAGGTCTTCAGTCCACGGGGTTTCGTTTGACATTTCTTTTGATAAAGAAGACAGCATCCATATGACACCTCCAAACAGAGGAATTATGAGATCTATTAGTAATGAAGGCCTTGTACAGAATACTAACCATATGCCCAGACATATCAAAAAGAATACATTTTTCAAGCCTCTGAATGATGAAGAGGATAGTGAAGATTCTGAAATAGAAAAGGATGACGAACTTTTCAGCGATCTAGAAGCAGACAGCAATCAAAGAAATGCCATCCAGGTTAACACGTACACCCTACCGAATGGAGCACTGCAAAATAAGTTGGTTACTACTGATGAATTTGGCAATCAAATCGAGACACCGAGCATTGAACAGGCTTTGCAGATTATCCACGATAGTGAGAAATCTGCCAACATTACTCCACCAGCACAATTTACAAATGGGTTTTTCCTTCACAACAAAGAGATGAGCATCCTAAACTCAAACATAGCGCTGAATCAAAGTAGCCCTGATATTATCGCAGATACAAAAGGTGCCCTCAGTCCTGTTACTGACAACACAGAAGTAGACACTGGAATACATGTCCCTTCAGACATTCCAGAGACTCTGGATGAAGATTCTACTTTAAGGGATTATACAGTCAGCCTGGATTCTGATCTGGAAGAATCATCTCGCTTTCTGCATGAATCTGACAGCAGAGGCATGAACCATAAGGAGCAATTGAGTCCTTGTCCAAGCTCAATAAGTACTAAATCTCAAGCTGGCAGTAGTCCATCTTCAAGTTCTGGAGTTAGAATGACCAGCTTTGCAGAGCAGAAATTTAAAAAGATGAATCACGCCGACAGCAGAAGTAGTGGCAGCAGTTCTCAGAAAACCACCCCCGAAGGTTCCGAGATGAACATTCCACACACTGTTTCTTGGGCTCAAATCCCAGAGGAATCTCCTCTCCCTCAGGGTAGGGACACAACACAGTTGCTGGCTTCTGAAATGGTGCAACTGAAGATGAAACTGGAAGAGAAGAGGCGAGCGATTGAAGCCCAGAAGAAGAAGGTTGAGGCAGCGTTCACAAAGCAGAGACAAAAAATGGGAAGGACGGCATTCCTTAACGTTGTGAAAAAGAAAAGCGATGGGATTTCACCACTCAGGGAAGAAGCAGCTGGAGCAGAGGGCGAGAAAGTGTTCACTGACAACAATGGAGTGAAAGAAAAAGAAAACCAAAAGCCAGGTGAACAACTGAACAAGACTTCTGAGGCCCTGAAAGTAAGCACTGAAACTCCCTCAACGACATGGCTGAAGCCTCCAAACACCCCAGCTGATGGTGAGAAGCCATCTAATTTGGTAAGTCCTTCAGAAGAGAATTTAAATGAAGGTGACCTTTTAGAATATACAAAATCCATCGAGAAGCTCAACTCTTCTCTACATTTCTTACAACAAGAAATGCAACGCCTGTCACTTCAGCAAGAGATGCTACTGCAGATGAGGGAACAGCAAGCTTGGGTTATTTCACCTCCTCAACCTTCTCCTCAGAAACAAATTCGGGAATTGAAGTCTTCAGTGAGGCTTAGTGGAGCATCATCTCCTGTTGTCCCATTTTCCGTAGAAACACCTCGGCCATCCCACCAATCCCCACAGTCATCTTCTAGGAAGAATTCATCTCTCCCAGGTAAAATACAAAGGACTCCAAGGCCAAATGAACTGAAAATTACACCTTTGAATCGCACTTTGACTGCCCCACGGTCTGTGGATAGCCTTCCCCGGTTGAGAAGATTTTCTCCAAGCCAGGTTCAGACTAGATCTTTTGTTTGTTTTGGGGATGATGGCGAACAGAACCCTCCAACTGGGGGGAAAAACATAACTGAACAGGCTGCTGACAAGGAAGAAGCAGGTGAAAAGGATGGTGAGAAGCAAGAGACTGAAGAGAAAGTTGAGCAAAAATCAGAAGAAGAACAGATCAGACCTCTGGAATCCATGGTATCTGAAGTATTGTCACAGCCCGTTACAGAAATTGTCTGCCTTACTCCAAACGAAGAGCCTTTGAATTCACCAGTGTTGCCCCCACCTTCATCTAAACCTGTTAGCCTCATAGAAGTTTCTCTCACAGATTTAAAGCCACCAGAGAAGTCAGAAGACTCACTTGAAAAATCAGAGGGTGAGAGTGACAAAGAACAAGCAGAGGATGACCAGAAAGTATGCTGTGGATTCTTCTTCAAGGTAAGTGAGTGGATATATTACAATCTGTTTGGACAATTGAGTTGTAAGATTATGCTGCATCAAATAATGGTAATGTGGGGGAAAATGAATATTTTTCACTCATTTCAGGTAGTCCTCAACTTACAACCACAGCAAAGCCCCAAATATCTGTTGCTAAGCAAGATAGTTGTTAAGTGAGTTGTTCCACATTTTACGATCTTTTTGACACAATTGTTAAGGGTGCTGAATGAATCTGGCTTCCCGATTGACTTTGCTTGTCAGATGCCACCTGGAAAGGTTACAAATGGTGTTCACATGATCCTGAGACAAGTGTAAATGTCATAAATACATGCCAGTTGCCAACTGATTGAATTTTGATTGCGTGACTATGGGGATGCTACAGCAATTGTAAGTGTTAAAATCAGTCATAAGTCACTTCTTTCAGTGCCATTGTAACTTCAAGCAGTCATTAAACAAATAATTGTAAGTTGAGGACTACCTGTATTGCTCTTTATAGTAGTTTTTCAAAGATCATACTACATTTAGGATGTTTGGGGAAAACAAGCATTTTAGAATAACAGGGATTTTGTTTCTTTGGTGGTTAGGTTTTCCAGCTATGTTCCTACTAATACTTTCTCCTGATACTATATGGAACTCTACTTAAGATCATGGGCATCTTTCCAGAGAATAACAAGTTTAAAGGGGAAAGAAGAAAAAAAGAAAAAAATTATGTTTGTTTAACTCATCTTATTTTGAATTTTTGTGAGCAAAACAAGGGAACATGATAGTTTTCATTTCAAATTTTCTAATCCAATTGGGGAAAGTTGTATGGGAATTATATGAGGTCAATATGTTGCCCTGTCTGGACTCTAAATGATAATTTCAAAATATTATTTATTATTACTAGGATGATCAAAAACCAGAAAATGACATGGCTGTGAAACGGGCAGCATTATTGGAGAAGCGATTGAGAAGAGAAAGAGAAACTTTACTTCGAAAGCAGCAATTGGAAGCAGAGATGGAACATAAGAAAGAAGAAACAAAGTAAGATTAAATGCATACATTAATAGTTCTGAAAGAAATATTGCTTTTTAAAGTTGGTCTATTAAAATCAACACCTTTATAATTACCGTATTTATCGGCGTATAACACGCACAGGCGTATAACACGCATTCCCTTTAAGAGGGAAATTTCAGGAAAAAAATATGCGGCGGGCGCAGCGCTGACATCACGTCACGACGCTGCGCCGCCGCTAGGCACTATTGGGAACGGGATCCCTTAAAGAGGATTCCGCTCCCTGGACATCGGCGTATAACACGCATACATCATTTGCCCCCTATTTTCAGGGGGAAAAAGTGCGTGTTATACGCCGATAAATACGGTAGTCTCATTAATCAAGTAAAATTTCGCATAATTTACTTATGAAGAAGTCAGTCTTTACAGACTTCTGTAAGACTCTATTATATATCAGGGATAGAAAAAAAGATACAGTGACTAAACATGAGTGACATAGTAATTAATATTAATATATTGTATATGTCTGATCAAGTATTTGTGATTAAATAAGGCTGGAATGTACTGCCATGCCCTCAGTATGGTGACAGTTTTTAAATAACGGATAGGTTTAAAGATATCAGGCAAATTTGATTTTTTGCCTCATCATCAGAGCACGTTATACTGAAGATTGAATATTCTATATTTCCTTTAACTGTTTTTAAACATGAATAGAGATTTGGCAGCACTAGTCACATAAGTTAGCAACCAGAGTACTTTGAATTTTTAAAATTGTAATTGTTCAACAAATCAGGATCTGAAGCAATCATTTTATTCTGATTATTCTCACTTGGACTGTGCATGCTTAGAAAATTATTCAGAAGTGATTGGACCTTGAACTAGTGTAATCATAGCATCTCTCTGCTGCTCATTAAATCAGGTCATTTTTTTAGGTTTCCATGTTAAGATTTGATTCATTAGGCTTACATTGATTGATTATGTGTCATTAAGTCTTTGGCTATTAGTGACTGCTCACTAACAGATAGATTTTCTCCATGATTATCTGTCCCTTACAAGGTCTCTCTGCTCTTCTAATGGCGCACCTATCACTATATAATTGAGTCAATCCACCTAGCTGCTGGTTGCTCTCTTCTCTTTTCTTCCTCTTATCCTGGCATTAGAGCCATATCTAGAGAAGTAGAGCTCATATAACGTATGAAGCTATTTTGAGCCTGGTCATTTATGCCCCAAGTGAGAACTCTGTAAAAACGTGTGGTCCGAGTTTTAATTGTTTTGTATCTTCTGCCAGAAAGCAACAGTCCACAAAGATTGTAAGTAGGATGGGAAGAGTCTCTGATAAAGTTGTGCAACTTCCTCAAACAGCGAGATGTGAAGATGTCATCCAGGGCTGGTAGCTGGATCTCAATGTTATTCTGGGCAGTTTTAATGATTCTCTATAGAGCTTTTTTGTCCGCTACAGATCTGCTCCCATACCATGCAAGAATGCCATATGTCAGAACACTCTCAATGGTGCTGCGGTAGTAGAACAGAAGTAGATGCTGAGATAGATTTAGAAAGTTGGCAGTTCAGCAGTTTGAATCCCTAGCGCCGTAACAGAGAGAGCTCCTGTTACTTGTCCCAACTTCTGCCAACCTAGCAGTTTGAAAGCACGTAAAAAATGCAAGTAGAAAAATAGGGACCAATTTGGTGGGAAGGTAACAGGGCTCCATGCGGCTTTGGTGTTTAGTCCTGCTGGCCACATGACCATGAGATGTCTTCGGACAGCACTGGCTCTTTGGCTTAGAAATGGAGATGAGCACCATATCTAGAGCTGGAAATGACTAGCACGCATGTGCGGGGGAACCTTTACCTTTTTACTGCAAAGCACACCACCTGAGTCAATTTTAAACTTTTTTCTTCTTGTTGTTCCATCACTTAAGTCATGACTGACTCTTCGTGGACCATAGCACAATAGGCTCCCCTGTCCTCCACTGTCTCCTGGTGTTGACCCAAATTTATTTTCATTGCATCAACAACATTATCTATCTCATCCTCAAAGATTTCATGTTCAGATGTTATGGGGAGCTATTAATGTTTAAAAATCAAAAAGAGATTATTTCATTGTCAAGGACACACTCTAAAAATAAAGTGTGAAAACTCAAAAATTGTGCGCATCAAAAGAAACCATGGCTTCTTTATTTCTAACCTTGGCCCATGGAATTCTGCACAAGAAACACATTCATTTATTATTTCTATGTATATTAACCCAATTTATTTCATAAACTTCATTTTTCTTTAAAAAAACCCATAATACTTTCTATTTCAGTTTACCAACTAATTCCCTCACTCTGCTCAAGCTGAAATCTGCTTAATGTAACGAGGAAATCATCATCAATATGATGATTTAAGTTGTACTGCTCTTAAGTTCCCATAATCTCCAGTCAGCATAGATGGCTAGAAGGCATTAAATTTAAGGTGGCTGCCCCACACCTGTTCTTCTGCACGCCAACTTTTAGGAGGTATTTTTGGAATCCAATATCAGTCTGACTGCAAAGTAATCATATGCTTCCAAATGGAAAATTCAGTAATTCAAAATGTATTTTGTATCCAATTTTTAAAAATACAATATTTCAAATATCTAATTTCTCTTTAACAGAATGCATATGCAAAATAAATAATTTGATTCTCATAGGTATTCACTGATCAATATCATAATGCATCATTTGTTTAAAAAAAAAAGGCTCTTAAGGGACTGTTTAATCTATATAAAGTAAAGCTGTTGTTCCTGTAACCTTTGAGTGCAACAATGCATCATAATGCAACACTCTTTGAACCAAGATACTTCAAACAGGCTAATTTACAGAATGCGTCTAAAATCTGAAGCCCATAACTCCTGGGGAATTGAAATATGGCCAATTTTATAATGGATTTATAATGTAAAAATTATCACAGAACAGCTAATGACACCATACAAAATGTCTTAAAACATTTCCCGTACTGATATCTGGCTGTGCCATATAATTCAGCATGGGCTCTTTTCAAGGCAGATAAATCTCTGAATGTATCCCAACTTTTCCAGTGAAGGCAGAACATTAGAAGTTCTGTCACTGTTGAAGGCATTGAGGAATCTGGAAAGGAAAATATATCTTGGAAAGGAGATCTCAATAGGTCATGAGCTGTCTAGTATGTATTTAAAAGCAATGCTGCTGGGCCAGTGTATGGGTGTGAATGTTCACACAGACCTTAAATTAAGCACATAATGTAAGTTAAATTTATACCAGCACTTGAAAATTAAATGTGATCTGTTATATTATGCATCACTTGTGACCACCAGCAGTGTTCTTATGAAATAGGATTTTATAACCATGCTTTTGGAATTTCAAGGAGGAAGTCTGAGGAAGAACGTCAGAAAAAGGAAGATGAAAAAGCACGACGAGAGTTTATTAAGCAGGAATATATGAGGCGAAAGCAGCTGAAACTAATGGAAGACATGGACATTGTCTTAAAACATCGGCCTCATTTTTCCAAACAAAAGAAGGCACGTCCAAAATCCATTCATAGAGATCACATTGAGTCACCTAAAACTCCAATCAAAGGTCCTCCAGGTAATAATTGCTTCCAGAAAAAAACATACTGTATTTGTGCCCCTACACAAACTAAGAGCAATAACAATAGACTTACTGGTATATAGCACTTCACAGTGCTTTTTTAGCCCTCTCTAAGTGGTTTACAGAGTCAGCATATTGCCCCCAACAATCTGGGTCCTCATTTTACTGACCTCGGAAGGATGGAAGGTTGAGTCAATCTTGAGTCTGATGAGATTCGAACTGCCAAATTGCAGGCAACTGGCAGGCAGCAGAAGTAGCCTGCAGTACTGCATTCTAACCACTTCACCACCATGGCTCTTGCCCCTTGGGTTAAAGCAACAGCATATAATTTTCCAGGATCTATTAATCCAGGGAATATAAACCCTCTTAAACCCGTTCTATTTTTTTCTTTTGTGGGGCTTAAATGTTTTGGGGGTGGGCTGTTTCTTTTTTAATGGATACATTTAAAATTACAATGGCACTTAAAAGTTTGAAAATCCTTTTGAATTTTTAATATTTCTGCACACAAGTATGATCTAAAACATAATCTGTTTCCACATGTTATAGATAAAAAGAAGACAATGAGTCAAAAGCATTACACATGTTCACTTATTTGTTGATGAAAATGATCTAATGTTATTTATTTGTGAGTGACAAAAGTATTCAAGCCTTTGCTTTCAGTAACCCTATCCCCAAGCAACAATTCATTAAAGCCAAAAAGTTCTCTTTTGGTTTCATCCATGCAGAGAACATTAATCAATAAATAGCCTTCTGGCTTTTTCTTATCATCTTTTGTAAATGGTAGACAGGCAACAATATTCTCTTTGGAGAGTAATGGCTTTCTCCTTCAACCCTGGCATGCACACCATTGTTGTTCAGTGTTCTCCTGATGGTGGCAGAGAAAGTAATTATTAAACATCCAGATAGCTTCCCTTATAGATAGTTTTCAGGATGTATCTTGATTTCAGGTAGTCCTTGAGTTACAAATGTAATGGAGCCTGCCCGTTCCATTTGTAACCCAAGGATTTGTGGGAGTGAATCTCTTACCTTGAACAGGATCACTCCCTCCTTTTGCCCACACATTTGTTAATCGAATGCAAGGCTCGTTAAGTGCATATGAGGTATTTCAGGGTGGGGAAGGCCATGGGAGGGCCTAGTAATGGAAGAGGCTACCTGTCTAATACCACCCAAGGCCTCCCCACCCCACTGAAATAACTCATACTCCCCACAATGGCTTTTCCCCCCACCTAACCTGCCACACTGGGTCACTTACCATGCGAAGATATAGCAAGTGGTCTCCTCTCCAGCCTTTCAGCTGCATTTGCCCCTCTAAAGTTCTGGCACGTTGCAGGCCGAAACAAAGCATCTGAGAGATCTGCCCCTCAGAAGCTCTGTTTCAGCCTGCAATATGCTGAGTGAGGCCTCTGGAGGCCACAACAGAGCGTCAGAGATCTGCCCATCAGAAGGTCCATTTTTGCCAGCAATGTTCAGAACAAATGTTGCAGAGCCTCTGTGGTTGTTCGTAAGGACGAACAACTGCCTTGGTACTGCAAGATTCTTAGTTTCGGGACTTGTTCATAAACACTAGGAGGCGCTTGTTGCATAACTTCGAATGTTTGCTAAAGGAACCCTCATAACCCAGGGATTATCTGTATTTTAAAGTTTATAAATGGCTGTGTCAATGTTTTTTATTTCTTTTTCTCAGTATCGAGCCTTTCTCTTGCATCATTAAACACAGCAGACAATGAGAGTATGCAATCAGGCAAGAGGACACCAAGGTAAAGTTTCAATTTACAATTCTGTTTCTTATAGAAATTATCTTAAAAGCCCAGTACAATGCTGTTTCACTATGTGCTATAGCTACTTAGAATATAATCAAGAAATCAGTGACCGTGGTTCTACTAGTACAAATAATGGATCTGTTCCTATGATCACATTGCTTCACAGGGACACCATGTAAAGGGAAGAGGGAATGGCCTTGAGAAACAGAAGGAAGAACTTCTAGCAAGACAACAGTCAAATAAAAAGGGTGTGAGTCCAGGACAGGAATGTAACCTGAGTAAATGTCTCAGAGAAGATCCTTCCTAGTTCTCACAAAAATAAGGGGAAGGAATAGGAAAGTTAATTTAAGGAGGCAAGATGTTACTAATACTGCGCTGATTCGACTCCTTTTTTCAAAGCCAGTCTCAATCAGTATTGATAGGAAGTGAGAAGTCCAACCCATGGCCACTCCCTTGCGGTTTTGCCAGATGTCTCAGTACTCTCTCTGCTTCTTTTTAACATCTACATGAAACTGCTGGCATGATCATCTGATACCATGGGATGAGATAGCATCAGTATTCAGATTATACACAGTTTTACATCTCCATACCTCATGATCCAGTAAATGCTATGGCTGCCCTTTATGAATACCTTGAGGCTGTAGGGGTCTGAATGGGAAACAGCAGGCTTCAGCTGAACCCTGGCAAGACAGAGTAGCTATGGGTGTAAGGGACTTCAGGATCCAATCGTTTATCATCTTTAACTCTGGATGAGGTAGCACTATGCCAGATAGATCCAGTGTGCAATAGCACAAGCAAAGATCAAATGGCTAAGAGGGCTTGTACTCAACTTCATGTTGTGCACCATTACCTGGATCGTGAGGCATGGTCATTAATGCCCTAGTCATCTCTCGGTTGCATTATTGCAATCTACTCCAGATGGGGCTACCCTTGAAGAATATTCAGAAACTACAGCTTCTGTAGAATGCAGCAGTGGATATAGTTCTGGAGGCCCCTAAAGTAGGATGTATAACACTGCTGATGCATGAACTGCATTAGTTGCTTCTGGGTCCAATTCAAGATGTTGGTTATCACCTTTAAAGCCCTATATGACATGGTCCAGGGTCTCTGAGGAGCCATCTCACCCCATTGGTGCTAGTCCACCCCATTTGCACCAGTAGAAGAGACTGCTTCAGACCCTGTCTGCTAAGGAATTCCAGCATGCAGGTTCATTGGAGAAGGGCTATTTCTGCTAGATATCTCTCAAATTTATATATTTAGTTACATGATAGCAGTGTTCCAATATTGGGGGGGCTGCCACAAACAAAAGGGGGTCAATCTATTATCCGAAGTACCTGAGGGCAGGACAAGAAGCAATGGATAGAAACTAATCAAGGAGAGAAGCAACCTAGAACTAAGAAGAAATTCCCTGACAGTTACAACAATTCATCAGTCGAACAACTTGCCTCCAGAAGTTGTAAGTGCTCCAACACTGGAAGCTTTTGAGAAGAGATTGGAGAACCATTTGTGTGAAATAATATAGGCTTTCTTGTCTGAATGGGGGGTTGGACTAGAAGACCTCCAAGGTCCCTTCCAACTCTGTCATTTTGTCATTCTGTTATATTTACCTTTAGCTATTCCCACATATGGTTTTCGCTTTAGTATTGAAAATCAAACATTATTATAGGCCCAATATGTTTTCTGTTTATGGTCTTAATTTAGATCTGAGTCTGTAGAAGGATTTTTATCTCCAAGTTGTTGCGGTAGTCGGAATGGGGAAAAAGACTGGGAAAATGCATCAACTACTTCTTCGGTAGCTTCTGCTACAGAATATACAGGTTGGTATTACAACTCTAGTTTGAAGGAAAATCCTTGGTTAAACCGAATTAACCCATTGGGGATATTAATTAATCAATTTCTCCAGGTGAGCACATATTTGGTTTTCAACTGAGAAGAATGGTAATTTTTCCCACTCCCTTCATCTTCTCCACCCATTTTCCACTTAACTGAAAAATTGTCCTAGACATATTGCAGTATGGCTAGCGATTACTTCCATTGGAATCATGTTTCTCCACTTTTATCCAGGAACCATGCAAATTTCTATGGATGATAGAGCAAACCATAAACCTTAATCCACATGTGAGTCCCACCAGCTCCCCCCCCCCTTTTTTTTTACAAGTTTCAGAGGCCCCAGGTCATTCCACTCATTTTAGTGGCAAAATGATGATTTTTATCACTGCCGGGAGCTTTGAATGTGCTATGGACCCTGTTTCTTGGTTTTACTATTAGTTTGTTAACTAACTTGGCTGCTCTGTGTAATTTTTGGATATGTTTATTGTTTTTAGTTGTCTTAACTGTTTTATAGTTTTAGAATTGTAAGCTGCCCAGAGCCACTTGGCTAAGATAGGTGACTATGGAATTTGAATAAATGAGTGAATGGATGATCATGGTATGTAAGTCTTGTTTTTCTAAATCATATTGACCTTTTTTGATGTCCTCTTCCTCTCTCTCTTTTTAAAAATTAGGACCAAAGCTCTACAAAGAACCCAGTGCAAAATCCAATAAGCACATCATCCAAAATGCACTTGCCCATTGTTGTCTGGCCGGAAAAGTAAATGAAGGACAGAAGAATAAAATACTAGAGGTAAGACTAACCTACGAAGAAATAAAAAAGAAAAATTCAATCTAAAGCTGGGATTGCAATATGTGACATTAGAGGAGTAATCGTCCAAGCTATTGTTTTAAGCATATTTAATGGATAGGATGCCATGAGAAAAAGAATGGTCTCCATATTTTTAAATATTTTTATCTCCATTAGTATTTTTATAAATAACTCAAGGGGGAAGTCATAGCTAATACTCCTTCCTATTTTTGTCAGAACATCAACAGTGTGAGGTAGGCTGGGCTGATAGAGTGACTATCCCTTAGTTACCCAGCTGCATTCATGCTTAAGGCAGCACTACAACTTTTATATAGTCTCCTGATTTTTAGCCTTAACCACTAGACCAAGCACATCTGTTCATACAGTGTAAGTCCTTGACTTACAACCATTTGTTTAACGACTCTTCAAAGTTACAGCAGTGCTGGCTTCCGGTTTTGAGCTTCTTCGGCGACAGACAGAAATCCACGATTGTGCATGGTTTCAGTCTGGTCTCACCGCTGGAGCACCCCGAGCCAGCTGGTTTCGGGGCTAAGCCACCCCGTAGAGGTGGTGAAGAGGGGAGAGACTGCCAGCAGGGTTGAGGAGAGCCGCATCTCTCCTCCTCAGCTGGCCACTACTCCCTTTCCTGAAGGCAGTTGCAGCAGTGGTCAGAAATGGCCACCTCAAAGAAGAATTTGACCGGAAAAGAATGTGCAGGAGGAAGATAAGTGAAAGTTTTGGCTGACCGGGTTAAATTGCAAAAGCAATAACTAAGGTACCCTGGAATTTAAACTTACAAAAAAATAACATCGTTCCCAAAGAAGAGTCTGAAGCAATGAAGGAAAGTGAAAAGGGAAAGGTTTGGTTTTTTTCTTTCTTCTCTCCCTTTCCCTATACTGATAACTAAGAGACTTAAATAAGAAATTGGAAAAATCCACTTTGACATCAACAGGCAATTAAGCTGAAAATAAAACAAAATGTCAAAGGGATAACAAAGATTTCTGGACACTAATAAAAAATTTTCATAAACACGAAAGGAGAGAAAAAGAATAAAAGGGCAGGATCTGGAAAGATGGAGGAGACTGCCTGGAATTGAAAGGAATCTACAGTAAAACTTCAACAAGACTTCTAAAAGATACATTTTAATTGAAACTTTGTAACTAAACAGTAGAGCCCCAGGAAGAGAAAGTGAAAAAAAAAAAGCAAAAAGAAACAGCTTGCGTGTATTTGGATTACTTGGTGATCTTCGGATTCTTGGTTATTGCACTTGAATGACTAAAATTAATCAGGTGGTTGTTTAAAAATTTACACAATGGCACTACTTTTGGATGAATTGAAAATGGAATTTAAAAAGTACAAAGAAGATGCACAAGAAGGGAGGGGTTCTTTTGGCTTCGTTTTTCAATTCTTAGAAATGGAGATTTGGAACTATGAGAAACAACAAGAAACGTCTGCAAAACAAGAAGACTGGGACAAAGAAGAAGCCACCTTTAATGAACAAGTAATTCTATGTGGGGAAGAAAAAGAAAAGGGGGAAAAGAGAATGGAGAATTTAAGACTTAAAAAAACAACCAAAGAAAAGAAAAATAATTTGAAAAATAAGTATAATATTGGAAAGCAACAGAAGAGGGGAAAACAGAAGAGAAAAATGGAGGTAGAGAGACATGGGGGTAAAAAGGGGAAAGAGAAGAAGAGAGGGAAGAAGGAAAGGAAAAGAAGTTACAAAGGACCGAAACAAGATATAGAGAAACAGGGCCTATTTAGAGATAATGGGTGAAAATTTAACTGAAAAAGGGATTCTGTAAAGGTACATAAGATTGTATTGTTATATTAGTAATAGAAATAACTTTAGAAAATTGGAAATAATGTATGATTAAAATGAGGGATAAAATAGTTAGTGTAATTTAGTGAAATGTTTAATAAAATAAATGAAATAAAATAAATAAGAAAATTGAATTAGGAAGGGACGGGAACATTTTAATTAGTTAATACTTTATAAAATATAAGTGAAGGGGGGGATTAATCATGGTAAGCTTATAACTGTTCCCATAGAAGTATGATATTTAATTGAAAAGTAATGTTATAGAAGTTAAGATTTTAATGAATATTAATATTAATGATAGAATTGAGTTGGAATGGAATGTGTTGTTTTTGATTACATATATTTATAATCTTTTTTTTAAAGAATATAATATGTATTTTAAGAATGTACCAAGCAGAATCTGAATGGAAGTTATGTACTATATTGAATGTTAAAACTTTAATATATATATTGAAGCCTAAATAAGAGTTAAATGGATAAATTTAAAAGATATAAAGGTGTCATACTCCAATTAGCAAACTACAGGATAAACTTTGTTTAATGAGAAAAGATAATATGAAATTGAAACAGGACAGACAAAAAATACAAATATAATGATTTGAATTGAGACGATATAATTAAAATAAAATTGAGAAAATTAAAGGAGGGGAGAAGCTATGTAGAAAGTGTAAAACAGTAATAAAATATGGAATAGAACATAAAAATGAGCATGAAATTGAATTTGTGTCTGTACGAAGAAATGCGACCCGGGATCATGATACTTTCAAAAAAGATGTTTGTGTTTTTTTTGTGAAAACTCAAATAAAATTTACAAAAAAAAAGCAACATACAGGTAATCCCTACACTTTTAACCACTGCAGCATCCCTACAATCACATGATCAAATTTTAGGCAATTAATATGCATGGTAGCAGTATTCTGGGATCTCTTGGTCATCATTTATTATTTTTCCAGGGGGCTTCCAACAAGCAAAGTGAATAGGAGAAGCCAGATTTGCTTAGTAACCATATGATTCACTTACAACCACAGCAAAAAAAGGTCATAAACTTGGGCAAAACTCATCAACCATATTGCTTGTGTTCCTGTACCAATATCTCAAACATCATATAATAACAATGGATGTTTTAATTGACATCTTGAACCTGGAATCATTTTCTAAGAGTTCAGGAAAACTCCCTTGTACTTTAAAGCATTCAAGTGCATTTTTATCTTTGCCACAATAAGAACTTTCTTTTCTACTTTATTCCCTTGCAGGAAATGGAGAAATCAAATGCCAACAACTTCCTAATCCTCTTCCGGGACTCCGGCTGCCAGTTCCGTTCTTTATATACATACTGCCCTGAAACTGAAGAGATCAATAAACTGACTGGGATAGGCCCCAGATCAATCACTAAAAGAATGATCGAGGGGCTGTATAAATATAACTCTGACAAGAAGCAGTTCAGCCACATACCTGCAAAAACACTCTCTGCAAGCGTTGATGCAATTACTATTCACAGCCATTTATGGCAGAGCAAGAGACCAGTAACTCCCAAAAAGCTCTCATCTTCAAAGACATAGCTACCTGTGGGAAGCTATTTCTTGCTTTGGGCAATTGGGGCAAACTTGACCTTCATATTTGCTGTCTATTACTAAATAGACTCCGATTTGGTAACAAGGCTTCTCTGAAGAACAAGCTCTGCTGCTGTCATTGCCAACTGGAATGTAAACACAGTGTTGAAGTCTTGCAGGAAACTGACACTTCGGTGTTGTGCATCATGAACAATGGATTCACACCTGGGGATTTTAGTTGTTTACTCATGATATGTGGTGTTCCTTTCCTCGGTTCTGCAGCTCTCTGAATGTTTGCACACTTATGAGACTGAAGTTTTAAAAGTTTTACATTTACTGCCTTATGCTGTTAATGCTTGTTTTGGAATTTGCTTCTGTACTTTATAACTTTACTGGACTATTGTGTCTTACATGCCACACCATTATTATTATTATTATTATGGTTGGTCACACCGTCAGCCAGATGTTTAGACTGGATTTGGCATTTTTATCCACCTATCAAGTCCTTCCAAGGATCTGGGAATAGGCTGGTGTCATTATTATTATTTTATTAATATCCTGCAGATAACAAAGGACACAAGCCTGATTCACAGTAAAATTAAGCTTACCTAAACTCCATTTTAACTCTGATTTTTTTAAGCACATCATATAGGAGAAAACCTTGTAAGACATATGCAGGATTGTTGCTAGCGTGTCTTAAACTCTAATAGGGAAATGTGGTGTTAACTATTGTTGTGAAGACATCATCCTTATATTTAACAATCTATCATGGCACTGATCCAGGATAGCATGAAATGAAAATGTATGCACTGGTAGACTTTTTTCCCCCATCCTTATTTTCTTCTAAACAGGCATCCTTTCTTCAGTTCTTCCCAAGCTTCTGCCTAAATTGCATCCTGTAATTTTGCACAGATTCTCCCGGCTATAAGGAAACATACTATAAGCAAACAATACTAATTGTATACAAACCAACATAGATATTTAAATCAGATCCATACGTCGGGAACATTTAAAATCCAGTATTAAATGTGTTAAAATAATACATTTCATATGGGTCTTTTGGAGGAAGTGGAAAGAAAAGGGTGTATCTGGTTTATGATCAAGATGTTGCCCATTATATGGACCAAAATTAAATTTCTTCCCACAATAGAGTTGATTTTATTAGAGTAATTTACTGCATTGGTTAGATTTTTGACAACCTAACTGAAAGGAACTAGGGCAACCTACAATGTAATATAGAAATATCACTAGGACATCTTTTCAGTATTTATGAAGGGCTGTGTTGCATCTAATTACTTTAGAAAAGTAATTCCTGTTTGGAACTTTGCTTAACTGACAGGTGGCAACATTTGAACTTGAAATCTACCCTTATTTTTCCTATTACTTTTTCCACATTCAAACACCAGACAATTTAGTTGTGGGGTGGGAGGGGAGCTAGGTGGAACCACATTCTCAGGAAAAGACTTGAATTACTGCTCTGGTTCTGTTTCAGTATTGTAAAAAGTGTTGAAACTTAGACAGTATTGAACTATCTGTCTTATGCTTGAATTTTATAATATGTCCTGCAAAGGAAAATGTAAACGTTCTGTACACTTCTCCTGTTGAAAAGCTTGATTCACTACAGTTTGCTTTTGTTCTTTGTATAGATGATGTACAGGAATAAAAAATCCTAAATTTAGAGAACACTTTTTTTAAATTATTAAACAGCCCTAAGCATCAATGTTTCTGAGTTGTTTATCAATTTTTTTCAAAGATGCAGCCAATATTTTATTGTAATTTATGTTATTATATTTATGTATATTTGTTAAAACTATAAAAATGAAATATATTTGTGGTTAGTTGATTCCTACTGCTTGCATGTAAGGACAGGGACATCTAACCCATCTTTTATCCAAATGTAAACATATTGTATATATATAGAGAGAAAGAAAGTACACACAAACACACCTATATATGTATGTATAAAATAGGAGATTGTTCTATGCATTCTACCCTCTATGCTAATCCTCCAACTAATGGCAGAGGGAAATTTTATTGCGAACTCAAATAAATGTACACCTAATTTTAAGATAGTTCAAGTATATCTGTGGTTAGGAGAGACAAGTTTGGACATAACTGACGTTGGTGAAAGAAGAAATTATGTGCAAGAGCTTTGAAACTAAAGTATTCTTGCTAAAAAAAGAAACATTTTTAAAAATATACACTACACTGATTCTTGCACACCTAGCTAAACAGGATGATTTTTAAAATGTAGCAGCCGAGGATGTTATTTTAAATTATTGAATGTATTATGAATTTTGTCTACATTTCAGAAAAACATTCTGTGCAATGTCTAAAAGTAGAATGTGAATATTACAAATAAAAGTCAAGACCCCTGAGATTAAAATTTTACTATATAGTATAATAGCAAAGTAATGACAGGGTTGAGGCTGCTGTTTTTTTAATTTTTAAGGTTTAACATTTTCTACTAGCCATTCTCTTAATTTGATATCCTGTTTGGGAAAAGAAAAGTTTTTGTGAATAATCCCTGTGTTTTACCAGTGATAATACATGTGCGCTGGTTCTTTATAAGAAAGGTATTGTTTATATGAGAGAATTTGCCAAACATCCTAATTTGGGGTTCAGGTATTTAAAGTCTGACAGTCATGATGGCTACTGAAATTTGATGGGGTAGGGGAAATGACTGTTGGTGTATGTTTTTAATTCTTTGGCTGTTTAAAGCCAATTTCTGCTTATTTATAATTTAATGGGCACCGTCCGTTGAAAACTGTACAGTGATTGTATGCTTCCTTGTCCACTTTTTGGAGCATTGCTACTTTATTCTCTTTTTCAAATGCTGTGCTGTAAAATACTGTCGTATAGCTGCTTACTTAGTACAATGTAGTTCTTCTCTTCCATCTAAATAAAAAGCATGGCACTGAAATCCTAATAGTGATGTTATTTGTGGTATACAATTTCAATTTAGATTACATAGCTGTATAAGATATTATACCGCTAGTTAATTAATACTTTTTTATCTCCCTGTATGGGGTTAGACAATATCCTACAAAGAGAGAGATTTTACAACAGATTTATTAACTACTTTAACTGAGGGGGTTTCAAAATGGCAGCCCGTGGGCCGGATGCATCACATCCAGGCCATGCCCACCCCAGTTCCGTGAATGGAAAAATGGCCGCAAAACATGTGACGGCATCGTGACGTGGCACGTTTGACACCCATGCTTTAATTCAAATATAGCAAAACCTCTAATGGGCCATTTGGGGAAAGAGTGTCCATTAAAGCCAAATGTCAGTTAAATTCAAAAGATATGTTTGCCCATCTATAAAAAGTCTGCCTGTCATTTTCCTAATGTGTAAAAACTGCACCAGGCCACTTAGTTTTTTTCAAATATGTGGAATTTGCACTGTAGCAGCCATCTTGTTGTAGTCCTCCTGGAGCAGCATTGTCTTCTAGCTACCTGCAGCAATAATCCCAATCCACTACAAGCCTAAGAGCTGTAGAAAGCACAAACTGCTCCTTCACTTCTTCACAGACTCCTCAAACTGTCCACCATGACTGCTGCTAGCATTAGATCACACCATATCCCATTTCCCTCAATATGTCGAAAAGTTAAATCGTAATAACCAAAGAATATTTCATTACTTATCCACGTAACTTTTTCAGTCAAATGAAAAATTTTTGGTTAGGCATAGAGTGAGAATCGTTGGAATGAACTAACCCTTCTCCCCCAAATTAAATGCAATATGTAAATGTAGACTCAATCATCCAGGCCAAAAGCATGTAAAAGAAGTTAAATCATGGCAATTTCCCTCAGTACGTTCCCAGAAATCTTCTCAGTGCTACCTCTAGTCTTCCCATCAGCTGACCCACTGGCCCCAACCTCTCGATGTCAGGGTTCCAACGGATGTCCTAATTAAACCTAATTAAACTAAATAAAGCCAGGAATGCTTTACGAGGTGACACTCGAGCACCTTCCCAGAAAAATAAAACCTTGTTTTAACTGATTTATTTCATTAATTTAATTGATTTATTTAATTTATTTGATGTATTTAATTTAATTGATTTATTTAATTGATTTATTTCAACTCAAATTTTGCCTTTTGCATCCCAAGACTCAAAAGTTTTACTGTCAATCCATGAATGTATCTGCTTTTTGAGATCCATTGAGATTGGGCTTTTGCAGTTTGGCAACTTTAGGATGTGTGAACTTCAATTCCCAGAATTCCCCTGCCAATATCTGTCCATGTCCCCATATCATAAAGTTGCCAAGTTTGAAAAACATTAAACTTATACTATGATTAAAACTATAACCATGTCAATGTTTCTGATTAACGTAAAATATTTATAAATGGGACTCAATTACAGGTAGTCTTTGACTTACAATCATTTGTTTAGTGAGCATTTGATGTTACACCAGCACAAAAAAAAAGTGACTTATAACCATTTTTCACACTTACAATCGTTGCAGCATCTCCATGGTCACATGATCAAAATTCAGATCCTTGGCAGTTGGAATGTACTTATGACAGTTACAGTGTCCTGGGGTCAGGTGACCACTTTTTGCAACCTTTTGACAAGTAAAGTCAACAGGGAAGCCAGATTCATTTAACCATGTTATAGTTCAGTGATTCCCTTAATGACTGGCAAGAAAAGTCATCAAGTGGAGCAAACTCACTTAACAACTACCTTGCTTAGCAATGGAAAATTTTGGCTCAATTGTCTTAAGTCAGGCATTGCTTGTATAAAATATTGCTGTGTATTCAGAGACTCTGTAGTATCTCAATTGGTGGCTGAGTAACTTGACTCGGGATCAGGTTTTCCACCTAAACAGCACCTGAGAATTCTGTGTTGGGAGAGGAATACATTCTAGTTTCTTCAAAAGGAAGACAGTTTCCTCCATGCCTGCTTCTCAAGTACTCTTCATGTCAGCCCTTGTAGCACTTTGAAAACTAACTGCATTCTTTGGTTAGAAGCAGAATAATTCAGTGTTAAACCTTTTCAGTGCTGCCATATCTTGTGAAATATATTAATTGCATTCCTGAAATTTTAATACTACTAATTTACCATGATTGAATGATTAAAAATTATTAATATCATTTTTATATTGGCAATACTCTAACGACCTTAGTATTTATCATTGCATCACTTGTCTTACCACATCAGCAAATTTACTGAGGTAACAAGACCTGGCAAGATCCTCTGAATATAAACATGTTTATGAAAGTAACCAAACGTGCATTATGATTTCTTTGAATCACTATTTTTTTTAAAAAAAACATACTTTAAAACTCATTGTACAAGAAATTGGATAAGCAAATCCAAAAGTCTTGTGTAGATATTACTCACATATTTCCAGATGTTGTTTACTATAATTCCCATCATCCTCAGTTTGGAATGTAGGAAACTATTAAAAATACCCCAAGGGCAATAATATGACATTTCTTCTATGTATGGTCCTCTTAAAAAAACAGACTTCCTTCACTATGACAGCTCCCAACCACACCTCAAATTGACTAAGATATGTCTTCATAAATTATTCTCCAACTCCCAGGCAAGGAATGCTTTGATATACTATAATAGAAGAGGATAAAAATTCTCTCAGGTATAAATACGTTCTTAGAGCCCATCCCTGATTGAAAAACCTGATATGAGGTTTCTGTATCTCAGTTTTTAGTTCCCAGAAGATGAGAAGAAATGCTTTTTTATTTTTTTTATCTTTTATCAATGAGAAAAATAGGTAATAATATAAAGCTAGTTCAAATCAATATATTAACATTATTGAATATGGATTATGTATGTATATATTGTCAGGTACAAAATACCAGATCCACACAAGAAGGTCCAGTTAAACTGATTTATTGCTAAACAGTCTATGCACAGGAATTTTCTCAATTAGCGGTTAGCATCTACTTGGAGTTAGATAAGGGTCAATGGAATTCAAAGAAGTTGGATTGCTTGTGGAGATGTAGGGATTCTAGGCTGATCCCTCTTTTAATTCTGCCCCTGATTCTGACATTTCTTCTCCTACATCATATAGACATTTAAAAAATTGATAAATATATCTCTTGAACCTACTCTTTAACATCAGGAGTATAAATATATTTCCCTCCTCATGTAAATTTTTGAGCCTTAGACTCAAAGAAATCTAGAATTCTTCATAAAATGTCAGACACCATATCTTGAAAGTAATAAAGCTTTTCCATGCACATATCCCTACTACAGATAGATCTATAAAATAGGCTCTGCCCCAACCTTGAAAAAGAAATTAAAAATATTTCTACTTTATTTTTGTGACACTTGATCTAAGACATTTATGAAGCTATCTCATTATCATAATTATTGATAAATATATTTCTTTCTCTTGGTCTCCTCCAAGAAAGGGTAGCCTGGTCAACTTCCAGAATTTTGAGATCAAGCGATGGCTAGCATCTTCTTCAAAGCAGGTGGCATCACCCTTTTATTCATAGATACATTTACCATAGTCCAAACCCATATCCTAGTCATGTGACTGAAGACTTTCTTCAATAAGGAAGGAAAGGATGAAACATTTAAAATAATTTAAAAAGTAAAACAATCCAGACTACAGCTGGAAAGCTGACGAGATACAGAACCTTCTCTGCTTCCTCAGAATTCATAGTTTAAGATGCCGTTTTGGATGGCATTTTGCAAGTGCCATAAAAATGAAAAAAATGTTGACATTCTGGTGCTCTGAGTACCATTTAGGCCTGAACACATCTTCTCTCTGATTCATTCTTTGTCTTACATCAACAATGCTCTAGACATCTCCTGATTCACTTTACCTTCTAAAGCTCTTAATTAAATCAAGAAGTATCTCTCAATTGCTAAACTAAAAGAGGGCATTTAGGTGGAATCCCATCAAGAGCCACTGTCACCTCTTTATTTCTACAGGTGAACTGAACATTCAGCAAAATTGCTCATCATAACTCTCACCACACTCTGGAAACAAAGTAATTTTATTACATAGGTACATCCATCCTCCCTATCAACTCCATATCACAAAGCATTCTTACTATAATAAGAGACAGATAATCATTCCTCTATTCTCAAATATTGCACCAGTGCTAAGATAAAAACCAGATATCAGACCTCCAATATGATTCAGGCTATGGATGTGTCAGTCCTTTGACTTAGTCCAGATCAAGAAATCAAAATTATGAGTACTTGTACTACTTTTCTACTTTTTTTTTTTAGTTTCAGCAACAGAATCCTGTAATTCTGAATTAACTTCTCCACTCCTCACCTTTTGGTTCCAGAGAATTAGGGAGGGTCAATTCTGATATGCTTTCTCTAATTATATTCTTGCTTTGGACTCAGATTTCATTTACAAGACCATTACCTAGTCTGTAACAACTGCTCCTTCTGTTCCTCAGGGTTATTCTTACAGCCCATTACAGGATGAGACCAGACCAGCATGAAGTTATGGGTTGCCTCTCATCCTTCTTCAAAGGAAAATGTTAAAATATCACAGTTCCATAGTCTAGGGAATTCTACTGCCAATCCATTCATGAAGTCAAGCAGCCCATATAGAGGTGCCACTCGGAAATATATTTAGCAATCCCCACTTGTTCTAAAGCCTAACATCTCAATCTATAAATTCAAATATCTGCAGACCAGTGAGTCTACATTCCTACTTAATTGATCTCCATTCTTTGCTTCAATTCTCCTATTATATACTCAGATCCCCAACCTCCAGAATATATTTGGGGTTCTAATTGTTCATCCATTCTATTATCCAATCTTATTTGTATTCAATTTAGCCATCTCTTGCACTCAGTCAAATTCCTGCCAACCATAGTCCTACTGATTGGCTGCACTAGAGAAGATCATTCTTCCCTTTCAAGACATTGTCCTACAAAGTCAGTTGGTAACTCTCCAATTTTTTTTCCTGAA